CCGCTCCTGGAGAGCAAGGGATTTAGGTAAAGGCTTCTCTCTTCCCCAGGGATGTGTGCAAGGAGCTAGGTTGAGACAGGCAGCTTCCTGGTCCTTCTGTTTCCTCAAAATAAAATATGCTGAATTTGAAGGGAAAAATAATCCTCAATGAACAGAAACCTTTCATTACTTTATAAACACTTGAGGGAGAAGAGGAGTCAGGCGGTTTTGTATATTTAAACGTCAAAGAAACGCTAAAGGAATGAATGTCCAGATTTCAAATAACTAGAGCACTCATTTCTAATTTTTTCTTAAAATGAAGGCAAAACATGGCACAGATGTTAGCATAACTTCTTTCTAAACATTTGAGAGTGAAACATTTTTATTAATAAAAAGTAGGAGGGGGAGGAGTAGAGGGAAAGCTAGGAATGGCTTTTGTGTATAATTATAAAATAGTTACCATTTGTTTTATTTGAGAGTTTACATATCTACTACACGTAAAAGTTGAATTCTACACGAGAAGTTGCTGGTCAGTTTCTACTCAGACCCATTCGTCTTGCCAGTTTTAGGAATCTGACATGTGCAGGTGAGAGACAATTTCTATTACCACTTCAAAAGTATCACACAGTCAGGTTGCAGGCTTTTTCCTCCCTACAGTAAAAGCCCTTGCTTCTTTCCCCTTAATCTTTTTCACAAGTTCTCATTTATAATTACATTATTTTCCTTCTTCCCCACCTCCTTATCTACTTCCTTCTTCTTCCTCTTCTTTCTTCTCTGAATTGTTGCTTAAGTTCTCCATATTTCTACAGGTAGAATTCTGAACTACATCAAGAATACACTACCCTAAAGATTTTTAAATGTAAACTATGCCTTTTGTTGTATAACCTTGTATCGATAATAAAATTCCACTTTGCTGATTCAGTTACCCAAACAACAAAAATTCTAAATTTAAAAATAAACATTATACTGCTGGTTCAGCTATCCAGAAAAATGAAATCTCAGAACACAATTATATATCATAAAATTTTGCCAGTAAATTACAAAAAGAATCTTAAAATACAAAGAGATTTTGATTTTCTTTGACCACTGCATCCTGCTTTTAGGGTTCAATCCTCCATGTTTCAGCTTTTGCTCAGAAATTCATGAGGGGAACATAAAGCTATGAATTTAGCTTTCTGGTGAATTATACACAAAAGCTTTTCTCCCCCCTTTTATCAAAATGTTAAAATAAATTCTTTTTTTTCCCATCCCTTCTGCCACTTTTGTTCCATATCCTTATGTTCCCAGAAAAGAGGGAAAGAGTAAAAGAGGGAAAATGCTTTATTTCACAAAATGCCTCCAACATGGAAACACATTCTTCAAAGTGTATCTCTAAAACAGCTAGCATTCTAATCAGGCAAGTTCATTTAGAGAAAAGAGCAGAATAGGCCGCATATCTCCCTTGTTTTGACTGGGGACCCATAGGCAATCCTCATGTCTGCTCCCGAGGAGAGGGTTTACTGGTTTACCTAAATCCCCGCTCCTGGAGAGCAAGGGATTTAGGTAAAGGCTTCTCTCTTCCCCAGGGATGTGTGCAAGGAGCTAGGTTGAGACAGGCAGCTTCCTGGTCCTTCTGTTTCCTCAAAATAAAATATGCTGAATTTGAAGGGAAAAATAATCCTCAATGAACAGAAACCTTTCATTACTTTATAAACACTTGAGGGAGAAGAGGAGTCAGGCGGTTTTGTATATTTAAACGTCAAAGAAACGCTAAAGGAATGAATGTCCAGATTTCAAATAACTAGAGCACTCATTTCTAATTTTTTCTTAAAATGAAGGCAAAACATGGCACAGATGTTAGCATAACTTCTTTCTAAACATTTGAGAGTGAAACATTTTTATTAATAAAAAGTAGGAGGGGGAGGAGTAGAGGGAAAGCTAGGAATGGCTTTTGTGTATAATTATAAAATAGTTACCATTTGTTTTATTTGAGAGTTTACATATCTACTACACGTAAAAGTTGAATTCTACACGAGAAGTTGCTGGTCAGTTTCTACTCAGACCCATTCGTCTTGCCAGTTTTAGGAATCTGACATGTGCAGGTGAGAGACAATTTCTATTACCACTTCAAAAGTATCACACAGTCAGGTTGCAGGCTTTTTCCTCCCTACAGTAAAAGCCCTTGCTTCTTTCCCCTTAATCTTTTTCACAAGTTCTCATTTATAATTACATTATTTTCCTTCTTCCCCACCTCCTTATCTACTTCCTTCTTCTTCCTCTTCTTTCTTCTCTGAATTGTTGCTTAAGTTCTCCATATTTCTACAGGTAGAATTCTGAACTACATCAAGAATACACTACCCTAAAGATTTTTAAATGTAAACTATGCCTTTTGTTGTATAACCTTGTATCGATAATAAAATTCCACTTTGCTGATTCAGTTACCCAAACAACAAAAATTCTAAATTTAAAAATAAACATTATACTGCTGGTTCAGCTATCCAGAAAAATGAAATCTCAGAACACAATTTATATATCAAAAATTTTGCCAGTAAATTACAAAAAGAATCTTAAAATACAAAGAGATTTTGATTTTCTTTGACCACTGCATCCTGCTTTTAGGGTTCAATCCTCCATGTTTCAGCTTTTGCTCAGAAATTCATGAGGGGAACATAAAGCTATGAATTTAGCTTTCTGGTGAATTATACACAAAAGCTTTTCTCCCCCCTTTTATCAAAATGTTAAAATAAATTCTTTTTTTTCCCATCCCCTCTGCCACTTTTGTTCCATATCCTTATGTTCCCAGAAAAGAAAAAAAAAATCACTGCAACAGAATCTACTGGAGGTTCCTTGGGGTCCTGCCTTCATTGGGAAATATAAACACTCCTCCAGGGAAAGGTGTTTCCTGCTTTGGTTATATTTCACTAGTGACACATTGTCTGTGATGTCTCCATAGCTGCTTCTGTCACTATCCGAAAAATATTGATTTTAGAAAAAAAAATTTTCTTTCTTCTCCAGAGAAAGTCATATATAATTGCGTCCTGATTTCCAAAGTCTTTTCATGGCTATATCTCAAAATTTGCCAAATTGTCCACTAGGATCTCACTACAAAGAACCAAGAGCGATCTCTACTAAATACGAGGGCGATTAATCTATGGACTCCAGAAAGATTCCAGGATAAAACATCATAAATCTGACTCTTCCAAAGTTCTCCTTATGTTTTCTTTCAGGACAGCGCCTAATCAAAAAGAGCTGACTGCATCCCAGAAAATATATTGCCCTAAATATACACTCTACATGGTTTTTTTAGTTATAATTATCATTTACTGGGCTTATTAGTGAATTTAACATAAATTCATGTTTAAAAATCACACGTTACCATGTGAAAGGAAAAAAAAACTCATAAATAAGATATCAAGCCATTCATTCTCACCAAAAACAATAAAGTTTAATAAATAGTAAAGATATTATTTAAATCTAATATATTACCATTAATTTATAAGTGAAATTTATAGTCAATTTTAAAGTAATTTTTTTTGGCTGGTAGATTCCGACCTAATACTTATATACTAAAAAAAATTAGCATATTAGCACCTAAAAAAGTAAAGCATGTTATATTTGTTTTGCCCTTATATTTTCAGTGTCAATAAGGTGGACATAATAATGCATGATTCTATTAATACATGAAAAAGGGGTTCATAGCTACACACAGGATAAGTCTATGGCTTCATTTACCACTGATCCTACACTAAGTTAACACAACTGGAGCTAATTTCTCCTGCTGCTTGGCCCCAAACACATTCATTATTTTTCTTAATTACAAAAAAGGAAAATAGCATTGCCAACCAAAAATATAAGGTAAATAATGTCAATTTCTCTGAAATAGGAATCATTAGGGACATTTGGACCAAGGAAGGTCAAGTCTGATATTCAAGAGAGATTATCTTTCTCTTAACAGTCACATTCAAATATATATTTGAAGGTGAAGAATATAAGCAATGAAGATTTGAGAGTAAAAAGTAATTAGTATATATGAAATATTTTTAAATTTCCCCTTTATTTTGAAAAGGACAATATTCTGATTTTAATTTTCTTCCTTTGCCAGAATGAAATTAATTAAGGAGAAAAATGTTTTTTAGCTTCTCTAAAAATAAAAACTTGCAAGTTTAGAAAACTGCACAAAGTGTAGATCAAAAAGCCTCTCATATTTGATTCTCTGTACCAAACACATTTTCAGTGTATGGGTTGGAGATAATAAACGCATGACTCCATTTTAACACATGGAAAAGGGGTTCATAGTTACACACAGGGTAAGTCTGTGGCTTGATTTCTTTTTAAGAAATTTAATTCTTATGGTCTAAGAGAAGTGACACTTATGTAAAATATGTATCTGCCCATAAGAAGCAACATCAAAAACACTTAAAAATTAGGGACACATTTTCTAAGCAGAAAATGTTAGGAGAGAGAAATGTGGCCTTCTCTCTAAAGTTCAGTTGTTCTCTAACTTTAATGTGCATCGGAATCACCTAGACTGCTTGTTAAACAGGCTGTGGGGCCGCATCCCAGAGAATCCGATTCAGTACTTCTGGGGTGGGCCCTGAGAAATTACATTTTAACAAGTTTCTAGTCATCATGATGATGATGGTGATTCTAGTCTAGAAAAGACACTTTTGAAAACCATTGCTTTAACTAGTCACTTATTCAACTCCTATAGAAGCCTTAGTATACTTGGTCTAATCTTTCTAGATAAGTATCTTCTGTTCTCTGTACCAGTAAGTTTCACTGACAAATAATACTACTTCTTAATTGCTTTGGAATATTTTCATCTTAAATTGCATGCCACTTTTTAGATCACAATATTATAGACATGTAATGCATGGAATACAAATATTTGTATATATGTAGAGTATCTTTGGTTTAACGTACAGGTTTGACAATAAAAGAGTGGGATGATAAGCTTTCTTAAGACTCACTGGACTTTTGATTTGATGTTAAAAATAACAAGGTATAGGTACAAGTGGGCAGTCTCCATCTTCAAGACTTACCTGTGACTGGTGCATCAATATCCAGCAAATTTTTTTCCTGTCGAAGAATTGAAGCTCCCTCTGTTATTATTCTCAATGCCACACTCTCTTCCAGCCTGCCTTCCTTCATGAGATGTGCCTTTAAGATATCCACACGAGGTTTCCCATCGTTATCAAACACTTCTTTTGCTGTAAGCCGGTGACTTGGAGGAAATGGGACAGCTGAAAGAGAAAAAGTTCAATTCTTACATTAGCCAAAACTGAACAACAAACAATTCAATAAAACCACTAAATATCTATCCTTATCACTAACCACCTATTTACAGTATTTAGAAAGTTTCCCAAATTAAAATGATCAAGGGTTATCAAGAATGGAAGACTCTCTTTGATTCTAGATGTAAAGTGATAGCTGAAAAGAAATTTACAGTTATTATTTGTCTAGTACTATCTCTTGCATCTAGAAGATGTTGAGTTAATAACAAAAATGAAGATTTGTATCTGTTAAGCAGTAATCAATTCAGCAAAAGAAAATAGTTCCTGTAGATCCAACCATAACCAACTTGAGCAAAGATGGTTCTCCATTACAAAGCAGGCTCCTCCACTAGGATTAGAGAAATGGGAAAAGGTCTGGATACCAGATCTGCCTTTTGAGTCACATCTCTGAGTAAACTGATGGACTCACTGTTTAAAGAGAGATCAGGACTCTGAGAGCAAGAAGGCGAAAACGTACAGAATAATGAACAGGAAATCAAGATTGTACGTGTGCATACTGAAGGAACATCTTGAACAGTGAGGGGACGGTATGATGTCAGGGATGAGACACAGATATTTAGGAATATGAAACAATGACAAACTCCACTTACTGCTCAGACTTAGAACCAACCATTCTCTTTTCCATACCTGCCATGCCTTCTTAACAGTAAGAAGCTCTCTTGTAGCTACTGTCAATTCTTCACATCTGTGAATACATTTCTCTTCACTCATTCACTGGGGAGAGGTTCAGTAAACACCTATAACGGGCCAGGACATTTCCAAGTCCATGGGCAGAGATGATATCATAAAGGTTAAATTTCTGATAAATGATCAAAAAGGCCCTTTGGTGAAGGAAACTCACTATTTTTCTATTTCACATGAGGGTTCATTTACTGGACAATTCAAGTCTGTTAGAAACATCTAGAAGGAGCATAAAAGCAGTTTCATGTAATTTTCATCTGCCACATGCATTATGTTACATACGTAAGAACATTTCCTTATGATGATTCTGCTCTTAAAAAAAAATGATATTAAGGGATAATCCTGGCCCTCTTACTTTCTAAAAGTGTCTCAAAGCAGCAAGATTTATGGTTGAACTAGGTCAAGAAATTCTGTGCAATCTAATAGCACAGATTAGTTATGCAAGGGAAATAACTACTTAAGAGAAAAAAAAAAATCAGGAAATGAACCTGTACTAGTGGATGCATGTTTGAACTTCCTAACAATCCAAGCACATCTATTTAACTATGCTGCCAGAATGAAGTGGAAGGGCCAGACCCAGTGGATGAGCATATGGCTTTCGGGGTCAGATGAATCTGGGACAAGCCTTGGCTCTGCTCACTTACCAGTTGTATGACTCTGGACAAGTTAAAACACCTCCTACGCTTTCTGTTACCTCACCTGTAAAGTGGGGATTATATCTATCTGAAGACTGTTATAATAACTAAAGTAAACAGTAATAGTAGTAACTAACACATAGAGTGTGTTTATTTTATGACAGGCAATGTTTGGGTAATAAAGTCAGACAGAACAGTAAAGTTGTAAGATGAGTAAACCATATGTACATGTGTTTATATATAAACTTATTTAGTCCCCGTAACATTACTGTGAGAGAGGAACTTGATACTCAAAAATATTAAGCACCTTGCCCAAGATAATCACATAGAGATGTATACGTAGACCCATTGAGTATAACGTCTAGCAGTCCGATGCCAGTGTATCTGTTTTAACAACTGCACTAGTTTACTTCCCAGAAAGTACTTAAGACAGTGGTGCTTAATAATTAAAAAGTGATGAGCAAATCACATTTTAGAATTGAAATTCTAACGAATACTGAGAGGTGTTTCCTAAAATATTGCTTTTATTTAAAAAAATTATTCAGGGGCAGCTGTTATTAGAATAGATATATAATCAAAAACATGATGTAAGATGAAAGACAAGATGTATATGCCAAAGCATAGTGTGAAATAAGAAAAAAAAATTTAAGAATTTGATGAAGAGAAAAAAGAAGAAAATTAGGTCATTAGACTTAAGGCATTTAGATTTTTTTTGCCTCTTCTCTCTTTTTTTTAAATTTTATTATTATTATTTATGCCTATAGTACCTGGTCTTCCTAGGTGGTCTCCCATCCAAGTATTAACCAGACTCGACCCTGCTTAGCTTCTGAGATCAGAAGTCAGAGGCTTATCCAGGGTTGCATGGCTGTAGAGCATGGACCGTGGCTCCACTGGGGCGCGAACCCAGGACCTTCCACGTGTAAGGCAGCCGTGCTAACTGCTACACTATAAAACCACGTCCTGTCCCCCTTTTTCTTGCCTAACTAACATATATCATGTTTTGTTATCATGTTGTTAAGAAAACATGAAAACATGTCGATGTTCACATTACTTTACTTAGTTCTTCACATATGGTTTGAAATTTTAAAAAAATCTTACCTGGTGACTCCTCGAAATTCCCTAGATTGAGGACAGGGGGTGATGGAAAGGGAGAAACTTCAAAAAGACACGTGGGGTAAAAATGAGAGCTGATTTTTCTTTAAGTGACTTCCCAAGATATGAGTTGGACAACTATGAAGGCTTATGTGACTCAGCAGAACCATCAGACAAGAAATGTGGGAGCATCGAAGGCTGATTTACTGTCAGGCAGATAAAAGCATTGGGTCTTTATCACTCATGTACTAACTAGCTTTATTAAACTAAGATAGACTAGAGTATTAAACTTGAAAAAGCCCAAGCATTTAAGAAGGTGAGATGCCAAAAGGGAGCACCCCAGGAGGCATCACCTTCATGCATTAGACTTTCTCTAAGTCCCTAGACTCTCTCCAAGGCAAAGATCACTGCAATAACAGATGCTCCATCCTTCATTGCCAATCTCTTACCTTCCAGTAATTGCTAATCCTAAGGTAATTGGCTAAGGTAAAGCCACCTGCTTTGAGATATTGGAGCTGGTTCCAAATAAACAGGAATGAGAAGAGGAAAAAGGCCAATCAGAGGCAATGTTTTCAGTTGGATGACAGGGACACTGGTGAGATGGGACCCTTTATCAGTTAAACAGATGGTAAGGCACACAGGGAACCAAAATGAGCAGCGATGATGTCGAAGATCGAACACAGAGATGCTGTCATCCAGAGAGAAGTATTCTGGCACAAAAATAAGAGTAGGCTAATATTTGTGTATTTGTGCACCCTTTGGCTTCATAAAGAAAATACCCGCCTTACAAAGGTCACATTTATTTGCTTTCTCTGTTCACCTAGAGTCCTACATGCAGACTTGTGCCAAATATTGAGCAAAAATACTTAGACCAAAGAATACAATGTGCTTAGTAAACATTTCTTTCATTAACTTGTAAAATAGCTATGCTTGATACAATAAAATTGGATATGGTGTTACAATAGATATTTTAGAAGCATTCTAAAAATAGAAACCCTCTTAGCTTTCTCCACTTCACAATTCCCACTCAACATCATCTTTTCCCCTCAAATACAACAGCGAGTAGCTAAAATTTGGGATATGTAAGTCCTTGATTGACTCCTGACAAACCACCACTGAAGGCTTTAAAAGGCAAACAACATACTAGGCTAGGATCATGTTCCCATATCACTGACAGTGGAAATCTGGCAGAGACTGATTTCCAATGAACAGTATATGGTATTGTTTCTTTTCTATTGGTTGTTGCCACCAGAGATTTCATCTATCTGATACAGAAAAAGGTTACGAGTCTGGGAACCAAAACCATGTGTCTCCATTATCATCATCTATATACCAATTTTTGAAGTTGCTGTCAATTATGCATTCACCAGTAGAGAAAGACATTCCAAGTCAGAAAGCCTTGTAGACAGGGTATTCCCAGCCCTCAGTTCTGGGACTATGGGACCACTCCTCAGAGAGAGTCAGGGGTCTCCTCCTGCAATCTAGGCTCTCTCAGATTCAGACAACCACTGTGTGCCTCAGTAACCACAGTGGTCTGCTGTTAACTCTGAGTATCTGAGATTTCTGTTCCTCCAATCTGAGCCACTTTAGCCACTATTGAGGGGATTCCTGCTATTTGATAGGAAATATCCAAGAATCATTGTCATGGTGATACCTTCACTAGGAGGAACAGCAGGATACCAGTCGCCTGACCTCTTCCTGGAGTAACTGTCATAAATGCTGACAAGAGAGAATCACAGACTTAAGAACATTTAGCCGAGTGATTTTTTCAAAACTTTGTTTTGCTTTAAAACAAACTTGTTGGTTTTTTTCCTCAAACAAAATGATATCTGGAAATTCAAGGCTATCCAAAGGGAAAAAGAGCCTAAAGCAGCTTGCTTGCCTCTCTCCTCCCCTAGGATGGCTCACAAAATCTTGGGGTTCTTTGGAGCAAAATTAGAAAATTCAAAATTTAGACTGATTCCTGTCCCCTCATATTAAAGAGGAAATTAAAGCCCAGAGGATAAGTGAACTGTTCAAGGTCAAAGGTCAGTGGCAAAACCAACGCTAAACTTTAGGTTTCCTGGTTTGTACTCCAGCACTTCACCCTCCAGATTTGCTCTATCCAGTATGGAAGTGACAATACATGTATGGTTGCTGAACACTTGAAAAGTGGCTAGTACAAACTGAGATGTGCTGAAAGTCTATGAAATGCACTGGAGTTAGAACACGACATAAAGGAAAAAAACAAAAGAATGTAAAATAATCTCATTAATTTTTTATATTGATTACAAATTGAAATAATAAAGTTTGGGATATATTGGGCTAAATAAAATGTATTATTACTATTAATTACACCTATTCCTTTTACTTTTTTAATAGAGCCAGTAGAACTTTTAAAATTGCTTAAATGGCTTCTTATTAGATTATTGTTGAACAGTGTTACATCCTTCCCAGCAAGTAAATGAGAACAGGGTGAGTAAAAATTAATTCTTTAATCTTTCTTCTCTTCCAGCTTTGGTTCCTATAAAGCTTCAAACTATCGCCAAACTGGCTGCACAT